CTCCAGAGCCCCCCTGGTGCGGAGGTGTGACCACAGCGTCTGCTGCTTCCTCTGTTTTTAACAGACAGGGCCCCTCCACCCCGTGTCTGACGCCCGGCCCCCCACCTGCCCTAGCCGCAGGGGCGTGGCCCAGAGCCTGTCCAGCATGCCCATGGACTGACATCTGGGCTGCGGCCGTGGCCTGTCTTTGGGGGCCCAAGGGACAGCAGAGAGTCATAGCTCCTTATCGATCACTGTTGTGAGTGTTTGAATAGAAACCATCTTCACATACCCAGTCTGGGTCTCCTTCTTCTCCTGCCGTTCCGGCATCAGCCCCGGGACGGTCCCCGCCAAGGAAGTATCCCCGGTCTCAGCATCTGAGTAGGCAGCATCCCGGCCCAGCCTGCTGGGCATCCACCACTGGACCCCCCTGGATAGGGGAATAGAATGGGGGGGCCTTTCCTCAAGGGGGTTGAGCCGGGAGAGGTGGGGGGTGGGCAGGTGTGTCTGGTCTGGGAGCTGGTCCAGCCTGTGTGTGGGCACCTTGCTGGGGGACTCGGACCCCTGGGCCTGCCTCCAGCCCGCGGGTCTGGCCAGGGCAGCTCGGATGTCAGAGCCTGGCTGCAGGCTGCTCCCTCTGCGGTTAAGCGGTGCCCCCACATTCTGTGGCCCAGGGCTGTTTGCCCGGCGTGGACTTAGCTGGGCCCCAGCCAGCCCCTGCAGCCACGATAGGCATCGGGCAGCCTTCACAGCTCACTGCCTCCCTCCCTGCTAGGCCACCCTGGGCTCTTCCCACAGGCGGGGGCAGCCAGGGAGGGGAGCCTGGGGGACCCTTGTACCTAGCTAATCGCTCCTGTCCCCGGGAGCTGGCCATACCTCTGTACGCACCCGGGAATGGCCCCAGGGAGGGCAGTTCCTGCCTGTGCCTGGCTCCCCAAGCTGGACCAGCCGGGCTGGGGCCAGTCGGAGCAGGACCGAAGGCTGCCCCATTAATTGTGCTAGGTAGCAGATAGCATCGGCCACCCACCCCACCATGGGGCATTGAGAGGCCAAGTCCAGAGCTGGGGTGTGGGCCGGCCCGGTGAGAAGTGCTCTGGGTCACCGACGGGGGCTGACCCCTCCCTTCCTGGAGATTGCCGGAGAGTCCAAGGGAGACCCACTCCGCCTTGGCCCTCCACTGACACCCCCTGTGTCTCTGCTCCCAGATTTCTCACCACCTGCCAGGCAGACGTGAGCCTGAGGGCATCAACCCAGTTTCACAGGTGTAGAAGCAGGACCCAACCCTCCCCGTTTGGGGGGGGGCCAGGATGAAACCCTGGAGACTCCCCACCCCAGACCCTGGTGAGTGACCCAGCCCACGTGCAAGGGATACAGCCCCTTTCCCCACTTTCCAGAGGGCCTGACCCTGCAGTCCTACTGGGGGAGTGTGGGTGAGGCTGCCTCACACGAATGTTTGCTCGGGGCCTCTGAGGGATGCTAGCCCCAGGCAGGAGCACCCCCCGCCACCTCTCTGAGCGGGAGCACATAGAGAGGCCTCGGAAAGCCCCGCAGCCTCACCCTGCAGGGGTTGGAAGTCTCCAGGGGCCTTGTTGGGGTGATGGCCAGAGCCTTGGGCTGCCTCTGAGAAGCGTTACTTTTCTTGCCTGAAGGAAGGTAGGGTTCTCTGGGCAGAGGAGTTTGAGAAACACTGCCCCTCTGTCACCGTTCCCTGACCCCCAGCCTCTCCCCACACCCCCCCACACACCTTGAGACCTCCCAATCCCCAGGGGCTCATGGAGGTCTCAGAACAAAACCTGCAGCGGCCTTCACAGGTCCCATGACCCCCAGAATTGTGTTCCAGGGCCACATCTGGAAAAAGGAGACCTGGACCCATGGCTGGTTGCTGGGCTTATAGATGGGGCCAGCAGCACTCAGGACCTGGTGGGACTAGGTTTGAAGCCCGCCCCCCAACCCCCGTGCCTCAGTTTCCTCAAGTGTGAAACGGGAGTACACCAGCACTCCCAGAAGAGCGGGGGAACAGGGGTCACTTCTGCTTGGCCCATAGTGGCACCATTTCTCTCGCAGCCCTGCACTGGGCCCAGCCTCAGGACCTCGGCTCAGAGCAGCTTAGACTGTGACCCCCTAGCCACACGCCTGTCTGTCTTCTGGTCTCCTGAGCCTCCCCAACCCGCTGGCAGGCTGCCCCTCACGGCCTGCTCTGTGAGATGGACCCACCCAGAAACCCTGTTCGCTCCTGCCGGCCCTCACTGCTTGGGCAGATCCTGGTGCCTTCAGGGGCTGCAGGAGGACTCCGGGATCTGCCTTGCTCCCTGGACAGCCTGCCTTTTTTTTTTTTTTTAAGATTTTATTTATTTATTTGAGAGACAGAGAATACAAGTAGGCAGAGAGGCAGGAGATAGAGGGAAGCAGGCTCCCCGCTGAGCAGAGAGCCCGATGCGGGGCTCAATCCCAGGACCCTGGGATCATGACCTGAGCCGAAGGCAGAGGCTTTAACCCACTGAGCCACCCAGGTGCCCGACGGCCTGCTTTTCATGATGGCTGGGGGTGCGCCTGTGCCCTGCGTCTGCATGATGGACCTCGAAGGACAGTCCATCTGCCACCTGCCAGGGGCCAGACCCTTCGTGCCGCAGGATGTGGTTATGATAGCCCTGGGCTCATGGTGGTCAGCAACCTTGTCCGTGGGACTGTCCACGCACTTCAGCACACTGCCCAAGCCCCCCAGGGCCACTGGGTCGTGGTGGGCGCCTTCCCAGCCCCCAGGGGGCTGGCTGCGGAGGCTGCCGGCCACCTTCTGGTGAAAGACTCCGTGCCTGGGGCCGTGCACTGTGTCCCGCTGAGCCCTGCCTTGCAGCCACGGGCCCCAGTCTCCACGCTGAGGCTGGAGGGTCCCCACTGGGTGGGCTCGGGGCCCGATAGGGGCCGCACCGTGAGCAAGGAGTTCAGGGATGTGCGGCTGGTGGGCAGTGCCCGCCAGCCCCTGGGCTCCCTGGGGGCTCTGACAGGGCATGCCTTTGGCAACCCTGGAGGTGTGTGCACTGATGTGGATGGCAGTGTGACCCTGTTCCCTAAGGTCCGTGCCCATCTGCCTGGTGTCTGAGGGACTGAGGCACTGTGGTTTGTACACCCCAGGGCCAGCTCGTGGCGGCAGGTGTGGGGGATGGCGCCATCAAGGTGTACCAGTACTGCTCAAGGCTGGCCTGACCTGTGGGCTCCCATCTGAGCCTGGTGCACCCCCCAGGGCCCCAGGGCCACTGTGGGAGAGACACTGGGGGTTGGCTGCGCCCCCAGGACTGCTGACCACCCCTCCCTGAACTGGAGTTCCTGCTGCCCCAGGTCCCAGCTGCCTTCTGCCTTCATCCTGGAGTTGGCTCAGACTTCATTGGCAGCCACCAACGAGCTGCCTCCCAGCCTCCAAAGCTGGGCCCTCTGCACACCCCAGGTTAGGGTGCCTGAGCACTCACGGCCCCCATGTCCACTCAGGCCATGGCCCTGCTGGTCCAGGGCCCAGAAGGCCCGAGCTTTGGGCCCAGCCGCTGAAGCCTGCAGACCTTGCGCTGGGCCGGCTGCCAGCATTCCCCCAGGCAGCCAGTCTGGCCAGGTGCCCCGGTCCCAGCGTCCTAATCAGGCAGAAGCAGGCAGGGCGGGGGTAGCTGGGCTGGGCTGGGCAGGGCAGGGCAGGGGAGCGGCCCATCACTGTCCCCCATCTTCAGAGGCACCCCAGGTGCCAAGCCTCTTGCAGCTTCTCTGGGCCTACCTGAGGTAAGGCAATGCAGAAGAGGGGCAGCCCCAGAGGCACCCTGGGGTGGCACATGGCTGGGCTGGGAGCCTCCACACCCCTGGTCCACTTTTCGAGGGTGAGACCCTCTCTCAGGCTGAACCTGCGTTTTCTCCTCTGCAAACCAGGAGCAAAGGGCTCCCAGCTCATGGGTGGAGCATGCTGGGAAGGTTCCAGGTGGTGGTTAAGCCAGGAGAGCCTCCCTTTGAGGAAGGACTCCTGTTACTTAGGATCCATGGGCAAACGGGGCCCCAAAGTGTGGGGACGTGAGGGTGGGACTCTGCGTTTGGGGCCCAGACAGGATCCTAGTTCCAGTGCGAGGTCTCAGTGGGAAGGGGACAATGCCTGGTCCGACCTGTCACCAGGACATTGCCTCTGACAAGGTCCCCTGCATATGAACCAGCCCCTGTGGGTGGCGGTATCTCAGTGGTCAGTGTAAGGAGGCACGAACACTGCGCGCTTGATGAGTGCTGTTTGTTGCTCCTGGTCACCGGGATATTGTTTCCTGGAGCAGGAGGGGCTAGGGACCCCTCTGACGACCAAACCAGATGACTGCAGCCTCTGGGCTGACCCACGGGGATCCAGCCTTCCTAGCCCACTGGGCCCTGAGGGGACCTGGGGGCATCCCTTTGCAGAGACCGTTGTTGGAGGTGGCCGGTCTGGAGCTGGGGAGGCAGCTCCTCTGGAACCCTACACAGGGCTTGGGGGTCCTTTCATCCTGGGAGGGTGGTGGCAAGGTGAGGTCAGGGACCCTCAAAGCCAGGTCCACCAGGTCCCTCAGATGAGGAAATGGGGGATGGGAGAGTTTTGGCAGCTAAGAGAAGGTGGGGGACTGGAAGGCGGGAGTGTTGGGGACACTGCAGGGGGACTGGAAGAGGTACAAGAGTGCTGCGGAGGACAAGGACACTGAGGAGGGCAAGGACACTGACGGTGCAGGACAAGGACAGTGTGGGGGACGAGGACGCTGGAAGAGACAAGGACACTGGGGGGCAAGGATGCTGGAGGGGGCAGTGGGGGGCAAGGACAGTCCTGGTGGGGGACAGGGACGCTGGTGGGACACAAGGACACGGGGGGTGGGGGACAGGGACACTGAGGGGCAAGGACCTGCTGGGCGGAGGGACAAGGACGCTGCGTGCACCGGGCAGACGCCTGAGACCGGAACGTTGCGTGCCCGGAACGCTCGGGCAGGGTCCGCGGGCTGCTCGGGTGCCTTTGGGGAACGGACCGTCGCGCGGCAACGCCAGGAGCCGGCGGAAATGGGGGTCGGGTCCCGCGGCGCGGCAGCGGCGGGGCTGGGGGCGGCTAGCGCCGCAGTCCGTCCCGGCCCGCCCGACGCGGTCCGCCACCCCGTCCCGACCCCGCCGCCCGAGGGCGCGGCCCTGGCGAGCAGCCGGTGAGCACTGCGGGGCGCGGGCCGGCGTCCGTGCGGGCGACTTTGGGGCGCCGCCCCCGCCCCCCCCCCCCGGCCCCGGAGCCTCCGTTTCCTCCTCCGTGAAACGGCGGCGCGGCCGGCCGCGGGCCCCGGGGTCGAGGTGTCGGGGTGCGGACCGCGGCCGGCCCGCGGCGGACCGGGAAGGGCGGTCAGCCGGGCACGAGGCCGGGGCGGGGAGTTCGCGCCCCCCGGGGCGGGGGGGAGCCGAAGCCGCGACCGCGCTCCCGGGTCCGCGGGACCAGCCGCAGGCGACTCGGGTGCGGGCGGGGTCGGGTGAGCGGGGCGGCGACCTGGGGGGGCCGCTCCGGGCGGGGGGCCCCGGTCTGCGGTGCCCGCGGGTCTGCGGTGCCCCGGGAGCTCGGCCTCCCTGCCCAGCGCCTGCGGCCCCGGGGGCCCGGAGCGGGGCTGCCCGCCGCGGAGACCGTCTGGGAGGGGCCGGGCGCCCCCGACACACCCGGCCTTCCCAGCCTGCGCCGTGGCTTCGGATCGCGGCGGTCCACGCGGGCTGGTGCGCGAGCCCCGCCCCCCGCTCCCCCCCCCCCCCCCCCTTCCCCCCCCCGCCCCCCCCCCCCCCCCCCCCCCCCCCGTCGCCCCCCCCCCGAGCGCCCCGCTCTTCCTGCTCCCCGCACCCCGCTATCGATCGCGCGCGCTTTCTTCTCTCCCTGGGCGTGGGGTCGGAGCCGCGTCGGAGCCGCAGTCTCTGTGATCCGGCTCCGGAGGCTGCGGCGGGGGCGAGCCGGATCGCCCCACCGCTCCGCCGAGAGAGCGGCAGCTCCTGGGCTCCTCCGCCTCCGCAGGCACAGGACGGCCGCGGCCGCTTCTTCTCGGGGTGGACTTTGTAGATGAAGCGCTGGGCGCACAAAGAGAGGCGCGGCCGGGGCGGCCCGGCTCCGTGGGTTTCCCGAGGTGAACGCGCCGCGGCTCCGGCAGGTGCAGGGCCCCCCCCACCCCCGCGCACCTGCTCGCTCTCGGGCTCTTCTTTCCCGGCAGTAGCCGGGGGCCGCTTGCCTCGGCTGCTGGGAAAGGGGCCCCAGGTGGGCTGAGCTGCTGTGTGTCCGGCTCGAGGGGTGGTGTGCCGCCCGGTCCCCCGCGGTGGTCCGCGAGCCCGGAGCCCCAGGTCCCTCGCAGCAGAACGGCCGGTCCGTCTCACCTTGCCCCTGCCGGGAGGGTTGGTTAGGAAAGTGGGCCCCGGTGACAGGCCACAGCAGCTTGGCCCCGGCAGGCTTGCCCTCTCCAGTCTCTTGGCGGGGAGGGACGTTTCGGAGGCACCGCTTCAGCTGGAATCCCCAGCTGTGAGAGGCATCCACCTCCCAGCCCCCGCCTGGTCTCTCGGCAGGAAGGGAGAGCAGCTGGACCCCTGACCTCTTTTTTTTTTTTTTTTTTTTAAGATTTTATTTATTTATTTGACAGACAGAGATCACAAGTAGGCAGAGAGGCAGGCAGAGAGAGGGGGAAGCAGGCTCCCCGCTGAGCAGAGAGCCCAAAGCGGGGCTCGATCCCAGGACCCTGAGATCATGACCTGAGCCAAAGGCAGAAGCTTTAACCCACTGAGCCACTCAGGTGCCCCAGACCAGGACCTCTTAAGCCTGGGGCCTTTGTGTCTGTGTAAGGCCCCTCCCAGAGCCCCCCTAGCCGACAGGACATTGGTGACATGTCCCACCATCACAACGTGTGTGTCCCCGCAGGCCTGGGGAGCAGTGGGGCCTGGAGGTCTCAGGTACCATCCAAGGCTTGTGTCTCTCCCACAGGACCTGTGGGCTCCAGCTTGGGGGTCTTAGCTCAAGGTGGCTGCTGCATCCTTTGTGCCAACAAGGTGGGGATAGCCAATGTCTGAGAAAGCGTGCTCAGGCCTCGGCTGAAGGAGGGCTTGCTGCCCACCACCTAGAGGGGCTTGGCTTGGTGCTTGCTGAGGAACCTCCTTGTGAACTGACCTCTGGGCAGGGCGGGGCGCAGGGTCCCACAGAAATCAGGGGCCGGTCTTGCTGCTGAGAGGCCACGTGAAAGTTGTGAGAGGTGGGGAAGGTTCACGGCCCTCAGCCTGAGAGAAGGCAGTGGGGAGCTTGTCATCCTCCAGGGTCGCTGTGTTTAGACAGCTGCCCAGCTCCAGTGTGACGAGAGAAGTTGGGCCCCTGCTCGGAACCCAGCCCGGAAATGGCGCGTGGGCACCGCCCAAGGCTGGGGGGTCCACGCGAGCCCCGAGACTCCTGCGGGGGCTCACCGGACGGGGGGTGGGCATGGGGCGCTGGCACGTCTCCCGGTATGTTCTGGGGCTCCTGCATAGCGTCCATGGTGACCAGCAGCGTGCCTGCGTCTGGTTTCCCTCAGCCCAGCAGTGATCCCCTTAGGCTTCGGTCGTTCCCCTCGCTAGCTTAGTAAGGAAATCGAGGTTCCTCAGACTTCACGTGCCCTGCTCTAATTGTTAACGAGACCGTGTGTGTCTCCACGTGCTACACGTAACAAGCTCTCACCGGTTTCCTTGGAAACAAGAACAAAGCCCTCACGTTCAGCCCCGCACCTCCTCCTGAGTGGTCCTGGGGGTCAGGCCTGTCTCCTCGCCCTGTTCTAGGGGGAAGTGTTGGCCAGCCTGGGGTGTAGGTAGGGGCCGTGCCCCCGTGAGATGTGCCACTGGGGTCCCGCCAGCCTCTGTGATCAAACCCAAGGCTGGGTGCTGGAGACTCCGTGAGGGCCCAACCCATGGGCCCCATGGCCCTGGGCCGTGGAGGCGGCGGCGGCAGTGCCCCTGGACCGAGCCCCTCCCCTCTCTTGCAGCCCGCCCGGCATGGTGCTCAAGGCCTTCTTCCCCACGTGCTGCGCCTCCGCCGACAGCGGCCTGCTGGTAGGACGGTGGGTCCCGGAGCAGAGCAGCGCCGTGGTCCTGGCCGTGGTGCACTTTCCCTTCATCCCCATCCAGGTGAAGGAGCTGCTGGCCCAGGTGCATCAGGCCGGCCGTGTGGGGCTGGCTGTGCTGGGCACCTGGTGCCACCGCCGCCAGGAGGCTGAGGAGCGCCTGGGGCCCTTCCTGGAGGGCCTGGGCACCATCTTCTCCCACGAGCCCTGGCTGCAGCTGTGCCGGGAGCGGACCAGCGGGCTCTGGAGCTGCAAGGCCACCTGCCAGCAGGGGCCGGCCCGCCCCGGCATCAAGGACCAGGTCATGCTCGTGTTCTACGACCAGCGCCAGGTGCTGCTGTCCCAGCTGCACCCGCCCGCAGCGCTGCCCGACCGCCAGGCCAGGGACGCCGCGGCCAGCGCCGAGGGCTTGGCTGCCGTCTTCGACACGGTGGCGCGCAGTGAGGCGCTCTTCCGGAGCGACCGCTTTGACGAGGGCCCCGTGCGGCTGAGCCACTGGCAGTCGGAGGGCGTGGAGGCGAGCATCCTCGCGGAGCTGGCAAAGCGGGCCTCGGGGCCCGTCTGCCTGCTGCTGGCCTGCCTGCTGTCACTCATCTCAGCCGCCAGCGCCTGCCGGTACGTGCCCCTGGGGCCGGGGCGGGAGGAGGCCGGCCGCTGAGCACGAGACCCACCACTCAGGGTGCAGAGCCGTGGAGGCCCAGACGCGCCCTGCCGAGTCTCCTGCTTCCATCTCCTGTTCCCTCCCCCGATATCCACGGGGACGTCTGGGGGGGCAGTTGCTCCCTGGGCACAGCAGACTCCCTTGGCCGCCTCCGCGTTTACATGGGACCCACCGGGTAGCCATCCAGTGTGGACTCCAGGTGGCTCAGTCCCCTGTGGGGGAATGAGACCGTGAACCAGACCAACGGCTGGTGTCCGCGCGGCCCGGAGCCTGGGAGCGGTCCTCCTAAAGGCAAGCAGGTCCCTCCTGCTTCCCCAGCCCTGGGGGGCCCGTGTCCCCTGGAATACTGGCTGCGGCCGCGGCCCGGGGGTAGCCCTTGAGGGCCCAGGGAACGCTGGGGCGGCACCGGCTGTTCCGGCCTCAGGGCCCCTCCCTCTGTGAGAAGCCGGCTCCCCGATGGTGCCCCTACTTAGGTCCTGGGGTTCCGGCTGTCCAGTTTGGGGACTGGCCTCGCCTGCTGACCCAGGGCTGCGGAGCACTCTGGCCTGTCTTGGCAGAGCCCCTGGGCAGCTGTGTGTGGACGGTGGGTTGAGGGCTGCAGGGAACCTGGACATGAACGGTGGGTTTGGGATCGTCACAACCCCCTGGAATGAGTTACAGGAAAGTGAGTGTCAGCCGAGGTGCAGTTTGGGGGCCGGTCCTTAGTTGTTACCACCTTCCAAGGACTTGAGAAAGGTTAGCGATGCTGGTGTGGCTCCGACCCTGATCGGCTCATCAGCTCGAGCCGTGGGGAGAGCACAGCGGCAGTCATGTGTGGCATGGCCGTTACTGTGCAGGAGAGAAGCCCCCTGGCCCTCTAGGGCAGCCCCGGGATGCTATTGGGCCCGGCTGCCCTGGGCTGGTCTGAGCCTCGGGGACCCTGCCGTGCCGGCGGGGGTTGGGGGCTTGGTGCAGACAGTGCAGGGCTGCCTTCCACTTGACTGGAGTTCGGGAGGGCTGTGCGGACCGTGTCTCCTTCCTGGAGCTGGCTCAGAGCTGCTCGAAGGCTTCCTCCTTCCTCCCGAGCGTCTGAGCGCCTGGCCGGGTGGCAGCTCTGCACTGGGCCCGGGCCCTGCAGGGCCCTGCCTGCGGCATCAAGGCTCTGCAGGCACGTGGAACCGGTGGCCAAGAGGGCCTTCCTTACCTTTGCCTGCACACACCTCCTCTCAGTGCCGGGACGTGTGCTTCCTTCGCCTCGGGAGACATCAGTCCCATGGGGCAGCCCGGTCGGCCCGCAGACCCCCGACGAGGGTCGCCCATCCAGCAGGGCAAGGCACCGGCTGGCGGGACAGTGTGTTCTCTCCTCTCCTGGGGCGAGGCCTTAGCTCGTGACTTTGGGGGGTGCCTCGGGTCACTGCTTGTGTCGCCCCGCCCCCATGGTGTCCCTGTCCCGCTGAGCTCAGGAGCGTGGCCGTCGTGTTCGAGGCCTCCAGGGTCTTGAGGTGGGCCTGGGGAGGGGCACTGGCACCAGCTGAGGGGCCCCTGCTTCCTGGCAGGCAGGGGAACCGCTGCATGGCCCAAACGGCCACCTTTCTTGGCCCGTCACAGGGTGCTCAAGCTGTGGCCACTGTCCTTCATCTGGAGCAAGCTGTCTGTGTGTGGGCAGCTCGGGCACCGACTGGAGCAGCTCGCGCTCGTCTTCAGCACCCAGAAGGCCGAGAACCCCGCCCAGCTGATGAGGTGCAGGGCCTGCCTGCTTTGTCGCGGCCAATGGCACCTTCCCAACTTCCTCACACCGTGCTCACCCACACGGACCCCCTCTGGCCAGGCCCCCCTCACCCACCACCCACTCCCATCGGCCCCTTCCTTCCAGGAAGGCCAACGTGCTTGTCTCTGTGCTTCTCGATGTGGCCCTCGGCCTTGCACTGCTGTCCTGGCTTCATGGGAAGGACCGCATCGGGCAGCTGGCGGAGGCCGTCGTCCCTGTGGCTGATGTGAGTTGTTTGGGTGGAGCCTGGTCCCGACTGGAGCACCTCTGTCCCAGGGGTGGGGTAGGGGTGGGGCCCTTCCTGGGGGCAGCAGAAGCCCCTCAGCTGGCCAGAGCTGCATGCCCCTTTCCCTCTGTTGGGCCAGAGGAGCAGCCCTCATCCCTGACCCCAGACAGGTCCTCAGGGCTGCACAGCCTTGGCTTACCGGGTGCCCGCCTGCCCCCACTGGGTCACGTCTTAGCTCCTGGCCTCTACCTTCCATTCCTGAAGGTGATCATGTCTGGCGGGGGAGCCCACCCGCCTCCATCGGGCCCAGTGTCCCTGGCTCCTGGCTCTTTAGGGCACTGGCTCTGGGCTTGGCTGTCGGCACAGCAAGCTGCACAGAAACCTCCCGTGGGTCCAGGGCTGTCTGTGCGATCAGGCTGCTCCCACTGCTGACTCTGCAGTCCCCACGCTGAGTGCCAGCAGCTCGCCTGCAGGGCTCCCCCCTCCCTCTGTGATCCTTCCCCCGGTTTCCAGGATTTCCAGCCTGTTGCTCTTCCCTGCCGGGGCCAAGCCTTTGGCTTCTCTGCCTCCCTTCCTCAGAGCCGTAAGGCCGGTCACTTCTGTTGCGAGCTTGTCTTCCCACTTGGGGCAGTCCCTCTGGCCCCTGGGCCTCCCCCAGTGGCATCCTGGCCCCGGCATGCTCGAGGGGCCGAGGCCTGGCTGGGTGATCTCACGCTTGCTGCCTCTGGCGCGGCCATCAGCATCCAGCTGCAGACATGCCCTGGGCCTGCTCGTGGACAGGACCCCTCACAGGCCGAGAGCCCCCATCCTTCTTGGGGAGACCTAGTCCAAGAGGAGGGAGGGTCTGGAGGCCAGGAAGGGGCTTAGCTGCTATACTTTGCTAACCCACGTTCTGCCTTTTGGCCGGCTTTGTCTTCGATCTCTTTTTTGCAGAACTGGGCAGAGATATAAATATTTAATTTAAAAACGAAAGTCTCTTCCTGCTGCTCAGCTCTTATCCTTTAAATATTAGATAAGCTCTATATATAAAGAACGTTCTGTTCCTCTCCTCACTGCCGTGGCCCGCACGGTGGGCAGTGGGGGACGGCAGGCGTTTGACTGTGGGGCAGGGCTGTCATGGCCACCGCCTCAGCATTGCTGACGAGGCTAGGGCCTCGGGGCCTGTGCGCTGGGACTGGCACAGTGCCCAGCCACCGGCCTTCGTCTCTGCGTAGCCAGGATGCTGCTCATCTCCCCTGCTTGCTTTCGAGAGGCCCCGTGCCGTCTCTGGCCCTCCCTGGACGCTGCTCATGACTCAGACCCCATCTGCGCTTCCCTCTACGAAGCCCTCCAGCTCTCCCCCTGCTCCATGGGCACCTGATGGCTCGACACCCTCAGGGTCACCTGGGGTCACCCACCCAGCTCACGCCTTCGGTGGTGCCATGCCAGGTGGTGGGGTGTGGTCCTCAGCCGAGGGGCACTGGGTAGACCCATAAGCTCCCTCTATAAAATTCATGGTGAGCTGGGGTCTGTCCCACCTCTGGGCATGTGGGACCCAGCACGCCTGTGAGTCCAGTGGTGAGAGGATTGAGGTGGAGGAAAGGTGATGCCCTTCAGGGCCCTTGTGGCCCGAGGACCAGGGCAGACTGTCAGCCTCGTGGGCTCTGTCTCTCAGGCTCAGATCCCAGAGCCTCCGTGAAGAGAGGTTCCTTGGCCAGATGAGTGTAGGAGACCTTGTGTGCTCAGCACATTAGGAGACACCTGGGGTTGGGGGAGCCCAGACTCCCTGGGCTGGCTGTGCTGGGGCCCAGGCTGTGGGCTTCCTGTCCCTCCTGTGTCTCTGCAGCACGTGGCCGAGGCGCTCCAGCACCTGCTGCAGTGGCTGATGGGAGCACCCGCTGGGCTGAAGATGAACCGGGCGCTGGACCAGGTGCTGGGCCGCTTCTTCCTGTACCACCTGCACCTATGGATCAGTGAGTGCCGTCCGCACTGTCCCCTCCGTCCTTGCTCTGCCGGCTGGTGCCGTCCGCACCGTCCCCTCCGTCCTTGCTCTGCCGGCTGGCTGCTCACGTTTCTGGAAGTGAGGGACTGGGGGGGGGGCAGGACCTCCCCCCGCTGCTCCCTCAGGGCCAACCCTGTTCCTCCAGGCTATGTCCACCTCCTTTCCCCCTTCATTGAGCACATCCTGTGGCATGTGGGCCTCTCGGCCTGCCTGGGGCTCACGGTCGCCCTGTCCACCCTGTCCGACATCATCGCCTTGCTCACCTTCCACATCTACTGCTTCTACGTCTACGGGGCCAGGTGGGTGAGCGGGTCCCCGTGCGGCCGGTCACGTGTGCCCCCCTGGCGGCCCCAGCCCTGAGTGTGCAGGTGGCCTCGTGCGGGGGCGGGGGGAGGTGCAGCCCCTGACGCGCCTGTGGCCCACAGGCTGTACTGCCTGAAGATCTGCGGCCTGTCCTCGCTCTGGCGCCTCTTCCGGGGAAAGAAGTGGAACGTTCTGCGCCAGCGCGTGGACTCGTGCTCCTATGACCTTGACCAGGTGCGCGGCCGGAGGGCAGGGGAGATGGCACCGCAGCCCCACGGGTGACTGTACCCGTGCTCCTGCCCACCTGCTCCCTCTGTGAGCCTGGCCAGGACGGCTGCTCGGCTTGTGATGTGGCAGCTCGGCGGCCGAGGGCTGAGCCTGGGGAGCGGGAGTGGTCTGCGGGGGGCCAGGTGCGCGTGGAGCCCTCACAGGGCAGGACCTCGCCCCGGTGGGAGGCGGGCCCCGGTGTGAGGAGGGTGCTGGGCCCCCGGCGGCTCCTGGCCCATGGCGTGTGGACGTGACCTATGCACGGATCCGGCTCTGACTGTTCCCCTAGCGTGCGCAGACCCGGTCTGCGGCCGGACCCCGCGAGCCGCCCTGGGAGGCACGCCCTTCCTGCCGGCTGGTCACGGCCCTCCTGCCTTCGGTGCGCAGGCCGAAGCCTGCTGGCGGTTCTGTCTGCCGAGTGCCTCCTGTGCCGGAGACAGCTGCCGTGCGCGGCTGTTCCTGAGTGTCTCGCGAAGCCCAGGGGTCCTGCTGGCAGACAGCCCGCTTCTGCCTGGTTGCAGGGGGGTGTGGTGGGGGCGGCCGCGGAGGTGTGGCCCGGCGTGCCCTCCCGCCGGTGCTGACGCGGTGCCACCGTCCCTGCAGCTGTTCGTCGGGACTCTGCTGTTCACCGTGCTGCTCTTCCTGCTGCCCACCACGGCCCTGTACTACCTGGTGTTCACCTTGGTGAGCCGACAGGCGGCGGCGTGGCGCGCGGCCCTGGCCCATCTGGCCCATGGCCCTCGGCCACAGTGCTTGGAGTGCCGGCCCAGCAGCCACGCACAGGCCACCCACCCCTACCGCAGATGGGGCGTGGCTGTTCCAGACTCTCTGGGCGCTGTGTGCTGGGCCCTAGAGCAGATAGGGGTCCTACCCTGGGGGGATGCCACCCGCTGCTCTGGGACACACAGCTGGGTGCACCGGGGACAGGACCCAAAGGGCCAGTGGCATGTTTCCCGGGGGTCAGCTTCCCCTGCCCGCTGCTCCCCTGCCCCCTCACAGCTGGGCCTCAGCGTTGGGGTGGGAGCTGTGCCCTCCCGGGATGAGCTCTGGGCCCTCCCTAGGGGATTGAACCCCTGCTCCCCCTCCGCTGTGGCCCAGGACCCTCTGGGCTGCAGCGCTCCCGGGCGTGTGGCTGAGCGCCGTCTGTCGCTGCAGCTCCGGCTGCTGGTGGTGGCCGTGCAGGGCTTGATCCATCTGCTTGTGGACCTCGTCAACTCCCTGCCGCTCTACTCGCTTGGCCTCCGGCTCTGCCGGCCCTACAGGCTCGCAGGTAGGTCTGTGTGTGGGGTGCGCGCAGGTGCCCCCGCGGGCCCTGCCTGGAAGCCGCGGTGTGCAGGGCATGGGGCGTGGGGGTGGGCAGAGACCGCCGGGTGTCCCCTGGGCGGGCTGCCTGCAGTGAGCTGGAGGGTCCAGAGGCGACAGAGGCAGCCCTTCCTGTCTCACCTGCTTCTGTGATGCGCGTGGACCTTTACCCTGACACATGTCTGCGGTGGTGTAGGTGGTACCTAAATGTGGCTCCAAGAAGCGTGCCTATGAGCTCGTGTGGGACTGGGTGTGTGGCTGGTGCCCCTCAGCCTTGGAGGGGACAGGCCAGCCCGGAGGGTGCTAGAGAGCAGCTTCCCACCCCCACCCCACCCCACTGCACGGGGATAGCGCCCCCCCCCCCCACTGCCCTTGGCCGTCCCCCTCTGCAGGTGGCTGCCCCTGTTTTCATGCTGACACCAACCACTAGGTCGGCCAGATGCCCCTGAGGGAAGGTCATCCCCACTGCAGGGGCTGGGGGTGCTGACCTAACTGGTCCCAGCATTGTGAGTCAGCCCATCCCCGTTCAGGGGTTTTGAACACATCAGGGAATGCGGGCGTTCTTGGTACAGATCCCACCCAGCGGCTGTTCCGCAGGCCCCGTACTGAGCAGCATGCCCAGCCCCCACGCCAGAGCTCCTGGCAGCTGCTTCCAGCCCGTGGAGAGCCAGGGGACTTGAACCTGCGTGCTCCGTGTGCTTTGGACCAAGTCTGCCTGCCGGTGCTCTTAAATTGCCTTTGCAGACCACCTCCCCTGCAGACCCCCAGGTGGCCCATGCCAGGGACCCCAGCCTCTGTCCTTACTGGGAAATGCCAGGAGCGGGCAGGCAGAGAGCCCGGGACCCAGCCCCTCCCCCACCCAGCCCGAAGCCCACCGCAGAGCAGAGTCCACAGACGCGCCCGCCTCCTCCCAATTTTGCCTTGGGGGCTCTTCATGAATTGATAATTAGCTCCTGCTTCTCTCTTCAAGAACTTTCTGCCTCGGAAATTCCCAGGCTTGGGAGCCCCAGCTGCAGGCCAGGAGCACAGTCAACTCCGCTGACCCGGAGTTCGGCATTAGGATGCCAGCAGGGCAGCCGCGCCCCGCCGAGTACCCGTCCATTCTGGGGGAAGAGCCCCGTCCCCCCTCGCAGAGCAGTCCAGCCTGCGTCCCCAAGGCCCAACCGACTCTTCCCCACCTCCCAGACACGCAGCTTCTGTCTCCGTGAAGTCTGTGGAGGCTTTGATCCTGGCCAGGCAGACGGCTCAGAGAGGCAGCGGGAAGTGGGAGAGGCGCGGGGGAGGCGAGCCCGGGGTGCGGCCACCTGAGCACAGCTCGGACAGCTGGCCTCTGTCGCCACAGCCCCGGTGTCCAGCCCTGCCTCTACAGGCACACGGGGGGGAGGCCCGGGAGGCTGTCCGCCAAGGGCCCCGTGGGTCTCACGGGTACCTTGCCGTCCTCGCAGCGGGCGTGAGGTTCCGAGTCCTGGAGTGCGAGGCTGGCAGGCCCCTCCGCCTCCTGATGCAGGTGAGGCCCCTGCGCGCCTCTCATACCGGAGCCCACGGACGGACCCTGTCCCGGCCCTGGTGATGTTGCCTGTGTTCTGGGACAGCTGGGATCCGGTCCTTCTGTGCTGCCCTGGGGGAGGGCTACACGGGCGCGCCAGAGCTGACGGGGCCCCAAGGGACACCCCCAAGACCCCTGGGCACCGTGACCCCTCCGGCCGGAACCTCCCTGAGCAGGACCCGGACGGGAACCCCTGTGCTGTGTCTGAAGCCTTCAGCCAGCCCGGGCTCCTGCCCTGAGCCCCACAGGCTCTCGTTCCAGGAGGAAGAGCGTAGGCTTGACCAAGGCCTCAGGACACACTCTTGCTCTGAGAAAGTCCTTCTGGGCTATGGGAGTGCGAGGGCGGGTCCCTGGGTGACCCGCTGGGGGCTGCTGGGGTTGGCTGGGGGACCCCCATCTCCGGGAGAGAGGAGATGCCGAGGCAGCTGGGGCCCTGCGTGTTTTCCTCGGGGTGTGGCGTGCTCTCGGGCTCTGCCGTGTGGCCCCTGAGTGGCTTGTCCTGCAGCCTGAGCTTGGCCCCAGCGCTCCCTCTCCAGCGGCTTAGCCTGCCCCTGGGGACCCACCGCAGACAGCCCAGGGACCCCCAGTGAGGGACCACTAGGACCAGCAAGCTGGAGCCTCAGGGATTTGGGGGGCGTAGCCCAGCTGACCCCTGCCCTTGTGCTTCCAGATAAACCCCCTGCCCTACGGTCGTGTGGTGCACGCCTACCGCCTGCCCAGCTGCGGCTGCCACCCCACGCACTCCTGGGGCTCCCTGTGCCGCAAGCTGTTCTTCGGGGAGCTCATCTACCCCTGGAGGCAGAGAGGGGACAAGCAGGACTGAGAGGCCCCTGTGGCTGGCCTGCCCAGCACCACCGTGCGGCCTCACTCGGCCCTCGTTCTCACCGGGGGTGCGGACCGTCAGGACGGCATGCGTCCCTGGTCTTGGCCGTCTCTGCCCTGCGTTGTTCAAGGCCTCTGTGTCTCCTCCTGGCTCTGAGGTGGTGGATAGGGGCAGCCGGCCAGGCCATCTGGCCTGTAATCCGTCACTAGGGTGTCTGCCTCGGGACCCGCCTGCTGACCTCTTCTGATGGCACTGGCCACCCGGTACCCACCAGCCCCCCGAGGCCTGCCCAGCAGTCCCCCCACCCCCGATCACACCCAGAGCCCCCGCCTCCGCCCACCATGCCCACTCCCAGTGGGGTGAGCTGGCGGGTCTCCCTGGTGCTCCCAGCAGCCCCACCCTGTCATGGGGTGGAGGGACCCCTCCCCAGACGCACTCAGCAGTTCCTGAGGCTAACCCCCAAGCATCTCCTTGCTTGGGGCTGTACTTCAGTGTCCCTGGCCGGAGCCAGCAGCCTCAGTGACCCGGGGCCCTCTGGGAAGCTGGCTGGGCAGCAGCACGCCCAGCCTGGAGCACGCGGGGTTTGTCTGATGCCCCCTGGGGAGACTGCTTTGCAGCAGAAGCTGCCTCCAGGGCCTTCAGGCCTCCCTGTGTGAAGCCAGGCCACATGGGGTGCCCGGAACTGCATTGCTGAAGACCGAGCACCCGTCCACCTTCCCGTCCACCTTGCTGCCCTGCGCCCATGCAGGAAGAGGCCCCAAATCTGTCTCCTTCACTGGCTTCCCGCAGAAGCAGGCAGCTCCCGGGGAAGACATGTCTGTGGCCTCTCGCGTGCAGAGGGGGCGTCCCAGCGTTCAGGCTGCGGCTGCCTGCTGGCCAGCGTGGAATCCAGCTGTAGGCGTGAGCCCCAGCATGCCCAGGGCAGGAGGCCTGCATGGCCAGATGGCGTCATATGTGTTGAGTCCTCTTGGAGCGGGAAATGTTTGTGCTGTAGCATGCGCTCTCTGACTGCGGGCCGCAGTGGGGAGCCCATGGAGGCGGCCCCCCACAGCCCGGCGTCTCATCTCGTGGGCCAGGTCCTAGCCTGGCCTTTTTCTGCAGTGACAATAAAACCTCCCACCCGTTTGGAGTGTGCCCTCTGCCTTCCCGCTGCTCTGTGGGCGGTGGGTCTGAGGAGGCTCCACACCTCCGTCCTAACCTTGGTGGGGGTGTGTTGAAGCTCTCCTTTTCCTGGGGTCATGGGACAGCTGGCCCCCATTGTTTGTCTAGAGGCGTCTATGATGCCTGTTTCTTGTTTGATGCTGAGCTGGGAGGCACTGGACACCCCGTCCCCTGGAGCGGGCCTCCCTGCAAGTCTGACCCCTTGAATGTGTCCCGGCATGCGTGGATGGAGCCAGGGCCGCTTACTGTCTGGTTTTGGCCTTGCCCTGGTTGGGGGACAGGGCTGAGGGCAGGGGCATAGGTTCCCCTATGCCAGCTGCCCTGGCTCCTGTGACTCTGCCCCCGAAACCTGTGGGCTCCACGAAGGGCAGAGGCACTGCCTGCCTGACTTCCCCCTCATGCAGTTGCAAGGACCCTCGGGTGGCCACCTGTGCGCCTGACGTCCTGGCTTTGTAGGGAAGGGCTGGGGTCCAGAGAGGTCAGCCTCTACTAAAGGGCCAGCAGCGGCCGGATAGGGAGCCATGTAGGGTCCCTGTGGCTTCCAGTGCCTCTGGTGTGAGGCAGGGAGGGGAGAGGTCAGAGGGGATTCGAGGAGTGCAGGGACCCACGCAGGGGACCAGAAGTCCCTGAGGAGAATGTGCCCAGGCCTGCCCCCAGGCCCCTGGAGCCTGCTGAGAGCGGCCTCCACTGCCTGTCTTTCTGGGGCTGCCTCCCCCCTCAGCAGATGTCACCCCTCCGCTTGGGGCTCTGCCCAGCCCACGGGGCAGTAGTGGCCGTGTCCCAGGCCTTGCGTGGCAGCTGTCACCCTCCATGCTGGTCTGCCATTCCATCTCCTGAGGGCAATACCAGTCACTCTTGCCACAAGAGACATTATCGGCACCTCCCAGGCCACTCTCAGCTTCCCAGGAATAACCTTCCTTGGTGGGCCCTCTTGTCCCCAGCCCAGGTCTCCGACTGCCTCTGCTATGCTGGCCTGGGCGGGGCCCTGAGACTGGACCTCAGGTCGCCCCAAGAAGTAGACGTTGTTTCCTTTGCAGTTGGGGCTGCCACTTCTCACTCAGGTTCTCACATCACAGGAGACGAGCTCAGAGAGGGATGGGGACTAGTCGAAGGCCACACAGCAGGCAGGTCTGAGCCCCACAACGGCACTCCCCACCAGCTGCCCCGCCCCCGTGTTTGAAAGGTTTCTACTTTGACATGTTTCAGACGCACGGGAGCCGCGCACGGCCCTGACCCACATTCCCCTTTGTTCTCATTTTGCCACATTTGCTTTTTTATATTTCTGCTCTATTTTTTTTCTAAACCGTTTGATCATTAGTTACCCCGAATTCTACCCCTCACATGCCTGCTGCATCCCGCAAGGCTGAAGGACAGACCGAGCAGCCACGGCACGGCGCAGGGAACTGGGTTAGGGTGCGTGGGGCCCCTTGCCGTGTGCCCCAGTGACCTCCACAGAGCCTCCCACCAGGTGGCCATCCTGGCCACAGCCTGGTGCCAGTGTCCCAGCCTGCCTGCCTTGCACAACGTGGTTGTGGAAGATACAGCCAGTCACTCGGTAGGCTGTGCCTCTGCGGAGCTCATCTGAGGACTCTCACCGGGAGACTCAGCACCTGTGCTCTTGCCATAAAGAACACGTCAGTGCCACGATGCCACGATGTCCTTCCGAGGGCGTCACCCTGAGAGGCTTGAGGTGTCCCGCTGTCCATCCTGGTGACGTGCACCTGATCACCAGCTTCTCCCCTTTATTTTTTTAAGGTTTTATTTATTTGTTTATTTGACAGATCACAAGTAGGCAGAGAGGCAGGCAGAGAGAGAGGGGGAAGCAGGCATCCCACCGAGCAGAGAGCCGGGTGTGGTGCTGGATCCCAGGACCCTGGGACCATGACCCGAGCCGAAGGCAGACTCTTAACCCACTGAGCCACCAGGCGCCCCAGCCACTAGCGCTTTCATGAGTAATTTATACAGAGGTATCTGGGACCATGTGCCTGTCTGCCCATCCCCACCCTCTGTGCACGGGCTGCGGCATCTACCACTGGTCCTTGCTGGGCGCACACAGGTTTCTGGCTCCCTCCGCCCCTGGTTGATGGGACCGGGCCTTTCCCTGGCACCTGTCTTGAGCTTGGGCACAGATCTTTTGGGGCCAAGTTCTGTTTGCCCGAAGGGGTAAAGCCTGGACCCTTCTTGGAGAGCAGGGCTTGGGGTCCAGCGTAGAGGGCAGTGGCTATCTTGGGGGTAGAGCAGAGACCACTTCAGACCACTTCCTTTGTTCCCCGCTCCCTGCCTGGACAGGAGCCGGGTCTGCCGGCCTAGCCTCCATCCTTTCTCAGAGCCAACAGGTGTGGCGGATTCTTGACTAGACACTCCCTCGGTCTCCTGGGCATGGGGCACCCAGAATTACCCTTGACGACCTGCTACGTGGGCACCTCAGCAGGGCTGACCCAGGGCTTGCCGGCAGAGGGCTGCTCTGTGCTGCTTCATTGTTAGCCTGAGGTCCCTCAGAGGCGGGGAGGCTGTCCTGTCCCTTCCTCAGTCCCCAGGGCCGGGCCGGGCACTTACTGGGTCCCGGAATGGCTTTGCAGAAGCACACACATCAATGTGGGAGGCCATCTCCTCTGCCCACAAGGCCTCCTGGAGCCCAGGGAGGGGCACCCCTCGGGCCATCCCCCATCCCACGGACTGGGGCCTGCAGCCCCAGACCATGTGGGTTTCTGCGGTACTTCTCCGGTCTGAGCGGGGAGGGGAGAGGTCAGGGGGGATGCGAGCAGTGCAGGGACCCCGCAGAGGACCAGAAGCCCCTGAGGAGAGTGCGCCCACGCCTGTCCCCAGGATCACACCCCTGCACAGGCCCCCAACGTACAAAGCAGGGCTGGTCGCACCCTCTTCACAGGCTGTGTTGGGAAAGGCTCAGTCAGAAAACACACGTGCTGAGCCCGACTCCTCTCTTTGTCCTGGATGATGGGAGAGCAGGCAGCGGGGCCTAAGGCTGTTGGAGTCCCTTCAGGGGAAGCCCTGAGAGGAGTGAAGAGGACGGGTCTCATTTAAGTTCTCTGGAAAGGGGATGATAACTTCTCACCCGTCACCTCCTGCAGGCAGCCTCAGAAACCAAGAAGGAAATTACTCACCTCACAGTGCTTCTGATCCCTGGACCAGGGTCTGGGTCCTTCAGAGCAGGGAGCAGGCAGTGCTGGGGCAGAGCCACAGTGATCTCCGCGGGAGAGGTCCAGCCCCATCACCGCAAGGGCTTTCCCTGACCTAACAGGTTGAGGTGCAGGGGTGGGCGGATGGAAGCGAAGCATGGCCTGTCAGTACCCAGTCCCTGGCCCCTCTGGGGGTTTGGCCCCCTGCCTCCCAACAGGACCCTGACCGATGGCTGTTTCTTTAACATTGTGTGTTGTGGGTGGCTGTGCCCTCTATGTAAACGCTGGAGGTTGTGTCTGCTGTGACTCAGCATCTGGGGAATGATGGTTCCCCAGGAGGACGCGGCCTGAGCAAAGGTACAAGCAGGAACATCAGGGCCTCTCCGTGGATTATGCGTGAGCCAAGTGGCCCTACCCATCCCTGGCCAGCCTCTGCCCTCCCACGTCCCGGCTCCATGCTTCCCTGGAGGACCAGGAGGACTCGAGGAGAGCCCCTCTCTGAAGGCAGGTAAGCGAGGCCCAGGTGCTGCTCACCTAGCCGAGGAACCAGCTCATCGGGAAGCTCCCCAGGCACCCGGCTGAAATGAACCGGCCCCGTGCATGTGGGCAGCTTCCCAACAGAGGCTGTCTGCAGCTTGCAGGATGGGGTCACTTGGTGTGGTGCCTCTCGTGCTGGAGTCTGCTCTCTGAAAGCCACCTGCTGCTGGAGCCGTAGCCCAGGTTCGGTGACCCCTTGGGAAGAAAGTTCTTGCAACCTAACCTGTTCCTTACCTGCTGGGAAGACATGCCGGCTGGGCTGTCCTCAGTGCTGCACACTGGGTCTGGTGGTTGTGACACGCTGCCTCCACACAGGCCTGCTCTGTAGGGAGTCCTGCCTCTCTGTGGCCTCTTTGGCCGCATAGCACTCGGCACCTGGCCTGATAAGGGCTATGCTGGGCTCAGGTTGGACACCTAATTCTTTTCACTTACTTGTTTTTAACAGCTTTATTTTTATTTTTAAAAAGATTTAATTAATTTTTTTATTTATTTGACACAGAGAGAGAGCACAAGCAAGGGTGGCAGAGGGAAAGGGAGAAGCAGTCCCCGATGGGGGCTCAACCCCAGGACCCTGGGATCATGACCTGAGCCGAAGGCAGTCGCTTAACCAACTAAGCCACCCAGGTGCCCCTATTAACAGCTTTATTGAGGCATATTTTACATATTATAAAATTCACCCATTTTGTGTACACAATTCAGTGATTTTTGTTTTATGGTGAAAAAAAAGTGTTTTTATCATAGCTTGGGGACAGGACCGTGGGCAGAGAGAGCTGCCGAGTGGATCATTTTTAGTAACTTTCCCGAGCAGTATGACCGTCACCACTTCGCATCACCCCAGAAAGAAACCCCGTGCCAAATACGCAGTCACTGACCATGTCCGCCTTCCCCGGGGCCCTGCAACCACTAATTTGCTTTATGGATTTGCCTGTTCTGGGGGCTTCACCCAAGTGGAACGTGGCGCGGACCAGCACGTCTTCCTTTTTGCGGGACCGCGTCCACTGTGCGTTCGCCCACCGGTCTTTGACCTCTCGCGGCGGTGAAGGGTGCTGCCGGGACGACTCGGGTCAGAGAGTGTGCGGGACGAGAGCCCCGTCTCCCCCGCGCCGGCCGCCATTCTCACCCCGAACACCCCCAGTCTATCGTTACCGGGCGTCCTACGTTCGCACGTCCTCGTCGGACAGACGCGAACCGGAGAAAGTCCGCCGGTGCGTGCGGAGAGCGCCCCTCCGGACCTCTCCGACGCGCCCCGCGTTGCTCGGGACCTGAACCCCCGCGAACACGAGCGGATCCCTGCGGGAGCGTGGACGCCGAGACCCGGCCCGGGCCCAGCGCGCGGCGGCGTGCGCTGCGGCTTCCCGCGTCCGTGAGAGCGCGAGCCGGGCGGGTGCAGTCGCCCCGTCCCGGAGCTCGCACCCGGCGGACCAGGCTACGCGCGGGCTCCGGCAGGGCTGCTCCCCGCGGGCGGCCGGTGCTGCCAGCCGCACGGGGGAGTCGCCGTCCGGAGGGGGCGAGGGCGCCCTCGGCCGTGTGCGCGGCTCTTCACGCATCGCGGCCCGCCACGAACGACCGTCCATTCCTCCTGGGAAGCACCGCGGAGCCGCCGTCCCGGGACCCCCGCCCCGCCTGCCCTGACCAGGGGGGCCGCGGGCGGCTGCCACGAGCCCCCGGGGGCCGAGCCGTGCAGCCCTCCGCCCCGAGCGCCGCCGACACCGAGCACGGTGGGCCTTGGCGACCACGCGCCGCAAGCTAGGGTCCCGGGCCGGGCGGCTATCCGCGCCCGCTGCCGCACTCGCTCGGACTCTCGCTCCCAGGACCGCTCGGAGTGTCGCGCCGGCGGCCCCGCCCCCGCCGGGAGCGGAAGTCCCGCCCCGGGCCTCTCCGAGCGCGGATTGGCCGGCCCCAGCCCGCCACGCCCGGTCCCCGCCCCACCGCGGGGAGGGCGGCTCCCGAGAGCGCAGTTCCAGGCGCCTCGCCACCCTCGCTGGGGTCTCTGCGGGAGCAGCGGCCGCAGCTTGCTAGGGGCCTTCGTCCTCCGGGACCCAGCCGCGTCACCTCCCTGGCGGGACAGTGAGGCCGGGCACAGCCACCACCCGCTCCCGCCCGCGGGAAGGGGGCGTATGCAAACAACCCGAAGTCCCAAGCTCCTGATTGGTAAGCGTGTGGGGAGAGGGGCGGGAAGCACGGGGCGAGGGGCGGGCTTAGAGGCCATGATCGACGTGCCGGCGGACCAGTGGCTCCGGTAGGATCGGCAGCGGTGGCCAATGGCGACGGGGAGGGGGCGGGCAAGGGCCGAGCTGTTGCGGGGGACAGAGGGCAGGGTTGCTGGTGACTCCGGGTGCCATGCGGGGAGCGCTGGGGATGGCAGAGGTGCTGGCGGACGTGCCGGCGGACCAGCGGCTCCGGGAAGCCCGGAGGCGAGTGGCCAATGGCTACGGCGACTAGGCGAGGCGGCCAAAATCTCCCCCCCACCAAAGCTGAGTGGGGCGTGGTGGGGGCGGGCAGTCGTGACGGACGGGCATACGGACCAATGGCCATGGGAAAGCGGCGGCGGGCGACCAATGGCGACGGCATGGAGGCGGGGCGACCGGGGACTTAACGGTGGAGTGTGGG